CTAGCTTGGGTTACTGCCGCTGCTGTGGCATCCGACATTCTAGCTAGTAGGATAAGTTTTCCCTATTGTGTGTATTTTTTTTTCACAACAAAGAAGTAAAACTCGGCGCCACTATGTAGCCACTTGTTGGTTTCGTGGCGGCACCTTTTACAACTGTATTTCGCTTCCCTCATGCATGTCGTCTTCATTTTATTTACCAATGTATTTAGAAATTGATAGATTGGTTGTGAGGCGGGTTTGTAGTGGTTGTGCACAGAATATACCTGATTGGAACCCACATGCTAAATGTTACTTGTGTCTCAGTTGCCTGCGGGGTTCGGGTTTTTGCTCGGAGGGCATTTGCAATCTATGAGTTCTGGGGCCTGAGACTGACCACGTCACCCGTTCATGTAAAGGTCATGCGTCTAGTAAAACTGATAAGGGTGAGTTGTGTGTTGGCATGAGTGGGAAGTCCTTGCACTCGGCTACCGGTACTTGTACCGAGACGTCAAGCAAGAGGCCCGATGGTGGAGGTACCAACGTTTTTTGGTCTCCCCTCGCTGATCGGAAGGCATCCTCACAGTCTGTTTTTGCAGGCAGTGTGTTACCAGACTTTACTGGCAACAGTGAGGTCATTCCTCCTATGGAGCCCGTTCCGGGCCCCTTTGGAGGATCCGTCTTCGCACATCGCCGGTTTTTCCTCAGAGATGAGGGCAATGGTTTAAGGACTATCGGGGCAGATTGCGTTCCTGGCAGGCCGGGTAGACCAGATGCAGTCGGAGCGAGCTGTCTCCACTGCGGCCTCAGTCGGCAAGCAGGAAGAAACACAAGAAGCACCACTCGCATTTTAGACACGTCTCTTCCTGGGAACCCCTCGTTTCCAGCCACGACTGCCTCAGTTACACAAACTGGACATCATCCACCCTTTTTGATGGGGAGATGGCGGGTGCAGTATTGGAGCTTCGGGGTGTAACGAACCAGATGGTTCAAGTCCAAGATACCACTGACATCTCCACCTTCCCTGTCAGTGTCCCCCCATTGGGCAAGGTGGAAGCAATCAGACAGGAAGCAGACAGTTTGCTGGAAAAAGAGCACAATACACAGGGTAGTTCAGCTGGCACTAAGCATGGGCTTCTACTCAAATGTATTCGTAGTACCAAAATCTACAGGCGGCTGGCATCTGGTTCTGGACATAAGCAGACTAAATCAGTATGTGCTTCTCGACCGGTTCCGCATGAAGACGCCATTCGACTGGCTAGCCTCTATAGACTTCAGCGATGCATACCTGCACATACCGATGCACCCAGTGAGTTGCCACCTCCTTCGATTTGCCCACCTGGGCCAAGTATTCAAATTTCGGGTGCTCCCCTTCGGGTTATGCACGGCGCCCTACGTGTTCACCAGAGTGATGAAACAGGTAGTGCTGCTGCTTCACCAAAGGTCGGTACACATCAATCCGTATCTAGATGACTGGTTACTGCACAACTCAGACAAGTGGTTATTAGCCAGACAAGTAAGGCTAACACAGGATTTACTTCACCAGTTAGGCTTCTTAGTAAAGCAGAAAAAGTCCTATCCTGACCCAACGCAACAGTTGGTGTTTCTGGGCATTGAGTTCGACACAGAGGTAGACCTGGTTCATCCATCTCAGGCGCGTTGCTTAGCGCCAAGCAACCTAGCGCCAAGCAACCTAGCGAACGCCTAGTCAGCGTTCCCTCAGTGTCCCTCTGAGAACTAATGTGGATCATCGAAATGATGACCTCGGTTCGAAGGGTAGTTCCCCAGGCCGCAACCGCCCAGTCCAACGCTTGTTATTGGAACATCGAACTCACCTACGGGAACTAGACAGGCGAGTTTTGATCTCTGACCAAGCAAAGGAAGCCCTGCCCTAGTGGTCCTCACTGGCCAACCTCAGACAGGGGGGTCCCCTTGGACCAACTCGTCACAGCTATGACTCTGGTAACAGACGCCTCCCTCCAAGCATGGGGAGCGCATCTATTGGACAAACAGGCCCAAGGGATATGACCCACGCAGTGGGTTCGGGGCCGTCATATCAACTGGCTCGAGCTGAAAGTGGTGCACCTAGCCCTACTATGCTTTCTACCCGAAGATTGAGACCACAGAGTCCTTCTCCGCACAGACAACACAGCGGTGGTTTCCTACATCAACAAGGATGGGGGGACGCGTTCAGTCCTATCAGAGCAAATTCTCCTTTGGTGCCTGGAATACAATGTGGAGCTAACTGCACACCACCTTCCAGGGGTGAGGAACAGTCTTGCAGACACCCTTTTGAGGCGGCTCCATCTCCAGAACTTGGAGTGGCAGATACCCCAGTGGGTAGCCTCCAGGCTGGTTTCCGCTCCTGCTGGAAATGCTAGTCGAAACACCAGTAGGGCTTCCAGACCTGCTGTCCCAACCGGACGGCGCACTACCAACGAGCCCAGCGGTGTACCACTTACATGCATGGAGGCTCTCAGTAGACTCGCACAGAGAAAGGTCTATCTAAGCGGGATGCCAACATCCTGGCCAGGGCGAACAAGGATTCCACCAACGCTGCCTACATTTCTAGGTGGCGAGCATACACTGATTGGTGTAGCAGAAGGGAGATTGATCCATACCATCCCTCTATTGGCCAGGTAACAGACTCCTTCGGCCACCTGTTTGACGAAGTGGGTTTGTCCTATGCAGCGATCGTTGGCTACAGGTCAGCCTTGTCCCCCACCATAGAGAACTCTTTGGGGTCAAGTCTAGCTGATTGTTCTATTATTAGGAGACTGTTTAATGCTTTCCATAATCTGAGGCCGAGAACCCGTACAAGGGAACCGCCCAATTGGGATCTGTTGGTTGTGTTATCAGTTCTAAACAGACCACCCTTTGAGCCTCTCTGATCAGCACCACTCAAGTTTTTGACATGAAAAACAGTCTTCCTACTGGTCCTCATCTCAGGTAGGCGGCGGTCAGAGCTAGGCGCACTGTCCTTCGCGAACGGGTGCGCCGCCTTTATGGACGATCAAGTTGTGCTAAAGACACAAATCAAATTTCTCGCCAAGAACCAAATCCCAGTCGATCGTCATCCCCCGGCTGTCAAATATTGTCGGTCCGGAGAATCAGGAGGAAGTGCTTCTCTGCCCGGTTCGAGCGTTGAGTTGCTACGAGAACCGTACTTGGTTTTTGAGACAGGGAACCAAACACATGTTTTTGGCAGGATAAGCCGGCCTCCTCGACTTCCATCGCTGGATGGATTACTGCGACTGCATTGGAGATCTATAATACGTTATCCTCCGTGCGATTGCTAACTCACTAGCGCTTGCATCAGGTGCCCCTCTCAAACACATTCTGAGGGCAGGCTTCTGGAGAATGCAGAACGTCTACCTAAGAGACACCCAATCTATTGAGCAGGGTCTCTTCAGGTTGGGTCCTGTCGTCGTAGCAGACCACAAGGGTCCCTGCTCATAGGCGATAAGTCAGTCTCAGCATTTTTGCAGACAGATTTCTATACCAGCAGCACTCCCTAGAAGCTCCCAGGTTCTGCTTTTCGACCTATGCCCTCATGCAGAACTGTTTTGGTCATCACTTCGAAAGCATACTACCCCCGAAATTGGGTTTGAGTCTTAACTAAGGGTGAGTGGATTGTTGTAGTGTATATCATCCCGGACTGGGAAAGAACTACATCATTTTTCTGTTTCGCTCGTAAAACCCGCCACCTA